TCCACTTTTTCGACAGGTGTCATCTTTCCACTCTTTGGATACACCCATTTTATGGATACCTTTATCCACAGCATTTTGGCAGTATCTGCATAAGCCTTTTAAACTGAATCAGGTCTATCCTGACTCACCACATCCTAGTTCACTACAGAGCAGTCTCAGAGCATGCAGAGAGTAGGCTGCTTACAAATGAAATTAAATTGAAAGATGCTTTCCCAGAACACACCTAATACACTCTGTTAAGTACTGGGAAGTCAGTCAGTGGTACCAGAACAGTACTTGTCTGAGTACTAGAACTAGAGCATATGATGAGCAATCAAGACTCACATCAACAGCTGAGATTACCAATCCTGTCCTCATAGGCAATGCCACTTGATGTCTACAACTACTGTTTCCAGCTGCACTGAAGTCACAGAAGGTCAGGGACCTAAGAGCTGAGCTTATCTAAAAGCTACCACATTATAGGTCATAAAGCTCATGATCAGTGTGTCTTTCCTACCTGCCTGCAGTGCACAGATGGATGTGGTAGCTGAAAAACTGGATTTTAATGCCATAGCATAGAGCCCCTGTGACAGCTGCAGTAAATCCAGAGCTCTCTGTCAGTAGGCATACAGGCTGCTGCTTCACCTTGTGAGAAAGGACAGACAGTTCAGTTGGAATTGAGAACAACTGAACACAGACTTTAAGAGTTATCCCTTTTTACACTGACCATTTAATGTAAAGAATTCCTTAGCAGCCCTTGAAGCAAGGACTGTCACCCAGGAGTCCCTCTCCTATTGAGTACAGTACTCCTTTGCTGGGCTCACCTGTGTTTTCTCTGTCCTCGTCAATCTTAGTCACATTTGCATGCCAACCCACCTTCAAGAGGAGGGACAAAAGTGGCACAGCCCAGGATGGCTTAGAGCATGGAGGCACTAACACTCCCTTGGGAATCCATAGATGTAGACCTAAATCTTCTTTATGCCATGGACAAGTAACTTGTACCGCAAACAGGGTATCTTAACAGTCAAGTGTGTCTGCGAGGGAGCAGTAGCATAACACGTTCCTTACGATTTTTTAACAGAAGGCAGATTCTGTCTCAACTTTTTTGTATGGAGCTCAGTTCAAAACATTACATGTACACCAGGCATGCTCATCAGACTGAAGGGAGAGGTGTAGGCATGCTTAGACTTGAGCTATTGATTAGCTAGAAGACAGCGTCAAACTGTTCAGCACTAAGACTGGTATGCACATGTGGATATGCTCAGCAGAAATCTTGGAATCTTCGAAGTGAAGAAGTAACTTCCCCATGTCTGAATCCTTCCTTCCACACTCATACCATCTACATTGTATTGGTCCATCGCTTACTATCCAGACATTAATGTCTCATGATTATTAATTACCCTGAGATGCTCCTTTAGAAGTAACCTGTAACTCTATTTACAAAATCCATGTGAGAAGAGCAGATTTTTTTACAGGGCTTTCTTTTTCCTAAAAAGATATCACCTTTAAGCATCTCGTTACAAAATGGCTTTCCACTTAGCTGCATATAAATGTAGCCATTAATTCCACCAACATATATCTGTACTTCACCTTATACAAATACGAAAACCCAAAGCAAAATCAATCCTTATTTGGGGCAGAGATCATAAACTACAGGCTTAACTATACATGGCATCACTGAAATCAATAAAGCCATCCCAAATTAAACTAGCAAATGGTCTTGTTCTACATATCTTTAATCTAGACCACTTCAACCTATTGTGAATTAAGAGAGTGATCTAGCAAACATCTTCTGTATTATGTATTGGTTTTCATCTAAGTAAGCTGTTGCTTACTCCAGTGACTACTGCTGCTTACTGAGTTTCTTGACATAACCTTATTGTCATTTTATTTGAAATAGTATACATAAAAGATGAATTTACCAAATACTAACCAGGTCTAACACAAACACAAGAAAAAAAAAAGCTTATAAACCTGCTTTTATAAACCTGCGCCCTTAACAATTTCATCTCCCTGTGACTAAATGCTTAATATTGCATTAGCTCTCCCAAGCTTGTTGCATTTGATAGAAGTAACTTAGAGTTCATCACTACAAGTATATACTAATGAGATCCCTTTGGTATTACAACTATATACCGGTTAATTACAGAGTCTCCATTTACTCATGGGATGTATCTTTCTTCATGTGTATAGAGATTGTTCCTTAAGGTTAAACACAATAGATACAAGCAAACTTCTACAATAACATTAACACAACTTATCATTACAAATTGGGAAGTGTTTCTTGACTGGACAATTTTACAGGTGAGAAAATCGAAGCACAATAGTATCGCCAAGCCACCCAGGCCAGTGCTTATTGCCAAGTACTAAACCAGGAGAAAATTGGAGCATTTGGGGTAGTTGTATAAAGCAAATATTTAATTCCAAGTCAACATAGTCTGAAATGACCTATTTCTCCATTCTATATTTTCTCAATGGAAATTGATTTGGAGCTTTCAGCTCGTTCTGAATTTTCCCAATGAAAACATACGTACAAATTTTTGTAGTAAAATGAAGAATGTTAGTGGATATTTGGTACTCTGACAGAATACAGAAGAGCACAGCAATGAGTCCAGCCTCTCCTCAGCTCTGATGCAGAAGCGTGCTCCACTGAAAGCACCATCACCACTTGCTTCAAAACAGGGAACTCCCTGGAAGATTTCAATTATCTGCCTGACTGTGGCATCCTCTGCTGAGCCGGAAGGAGCTCATAAACTCAGTATGAAGTAGCATGTGGCAGCAAGCCATAAAAAGCCCTGCATTTCCGAACGATTACAGCACATCTTTGCTGGTGCTGGGAGACACAAGGCTACAGTCCAAGTGCTTAGCCACTTGAGTAGTGCAATTATGTGCTGGAAATGCACTGCCTGGAATGATCCTTCTTATGAAATTAAAATTACCAACTAAAATGGGGGGGGAAAGTTTCTGTCCATGTCATGTTGTTTATTGTAACGTCCTTATCAACCCTGCTGCTTCTTTCCCTTTATACCCAAAGTTTACCCAAATCAAGGCAACAAATCACTATTGCTGTCTTACTCTTTTTACGTTTAAAATGTGTGAACATATTGTCATTACCTTTATACTGTGCCACACTGTCAGTCATGTCTCCATGCCTCCTTGTATCCTTTCAACATCACCTTACCTCACATTTATGCCATGCATTTGTAACAGAGAAATTCTAGGAAGGCATCTCAGTCCTCAATTCTGCACATTTTCTTGCTTGTGTCTTATGTTCTGTGTCACAAATCAATACATCACAACTGCTTGTGTAGCCACCATTTTGCCAGTATATTTGTGTGGTAGATAAAGGATGGAGGAGGCTAGTAGGCCATTGTCTGTGAGTTATGATTACTGCCTAAAAGGATATATTAGTGCTGAAGAGTTTTATTCTAATTTTGGGAGTAAGTAAATGACAAAGGCTATAGCTCATAATGAAAAGGCTGATCCCAGCAAATGCTGAAAAGGTGGACTTTTATGTGTCTCTAAACAGAGTAAGCTGTTGAAAATCAAGCTCATATGGGTAAACAATCCACAAAACAGAAGAAAAAAATACCCTTATTTGACAGCTACATCAATAATAGCTCTGGTAATAAACAAGCACTCACTTCCATTACTGGAAAGAGCTATATGAACCCTTTCTGCTGTCAATTTTGAGCTAATAATTTTTCTGGGTATTAACTGGTAAATGAGTATCTCAACTAAAATAAAAGTTTATAGTCAAAAATCATACTCATACCTCTGTATTTTAGTTCTTTGCAGTAGGGCATAAAATCAGTAAAAAAAAAATCCCCTGAGACTATAAGGGACAAAACAAAAATTTAAAAAAATCAAGATGCATATAAAACCACAAAACTTCAGAGAAGTTTTAGAAAGCAGCATTAAAAGGAAACTTAAGAGGCCCATCTGATACACGTCTCTGCCTGAACACCTATGTCACCCATTGAAAGATTCTTCAGACATTTCAAATTTAAATGTCTAAAGACATTTAAAATTTACTCTGAGGTCTGTACACTTTTTTTAAAGTGCTACAAGAAACAGGTATTTGGAGGCAAAGTGATGAAAGAAAGGAGGTTCAGAGACAAGTAAAGAGGAAACTGGGGTTGATGAGATCAAGGCTTGATAAAACACTGCAGAAAGAAAACAAGCAGAAACCCAGCTGTTTAAAGGACTAAAAAACAAAAAGGGAGGAGAAATAAATCTCACCCCTCCATACACATGTATATAAGCAGACAAAAATGTCTTGTACTGTGTACTTCCTAATGACTCCCTCATAGGAAAGGAACAAAGAACTATATAATAAAATGATAAAGCCAAGTAAGACACCACCAGAGAAAACATATGGCAATGTAATCATTATTTGCATAGAATAAATAATACTTTTTTTTTTTTAATCAAACCATGAGCCAATCTGCCTGTGGTTCTGTATTATTTTTGCTGTGTCTAGAGATATAAAAGCATGTGCAATGGTTGGTTCAAAGCTTTGGACATACTGACCAGCATGGTGGAGCTGCCTTTTGCAACGAAAAGGGGAAGCTGTAACTTGCTTTCCCTTCCTTAGGACACTATTTTCCATCTTCCTTCTAATACAGCTGTTGACTTCCAATAAGACTTAAATTTCATAGGTTTTCAACATCCTGTTCCATTGACATTCAGACAAAATTTGTTAATAGGTTCAACCAAGGATTGCTGCCAAAAACAAGGGATGGCAGCAGCATAGGAAAAAAAGGAAAAAGATAATGTGTATAGGATGCATTTACATGAGAAATCCAGGTTAAACACATACGATGAAAAATACAAGCATCTGTTCTTCAATAAGTAACATCAGGAAAAGCAATATGGCATTGGAAAACCTTTTTTTTTTTTTTTTTTTAACTGGAGGAGAATATCTTTATGTAGGCCTTACTCTTTTTCACACGCCAATAGGTGAAAGCTGTCATCAATCTCAACCTGAGCAGCAGCTATAATTTCAGAAGGCCTAAATGGAAATTGAATGAAAATGCATTTATTTAATCTTTAGGTTTATCTTTTCAGAATAGACTTTTAGAATTACTTCATATCTGAAACATTGCTGCCCTGCCCATAGCTTTGATACAAAAAAATCTGAATGGTTGCAATGATACTCATCTACGATAAGCATAAAGCTCATATAATTGATTTAAATAGAAAAATTACATATATGCTCACAAATCTTGTTGTTCCAGTTCTGAGACAGACATTCTATAATAAGAAATTGTGAATTCATTTATCCAACCAGCACAGCACAACAAAACTGTTGTGTATTAGGTCTGTAGATCACATGTACAGTATATTAAATTCACTTGTAGACAGATAATTATGTTTCCATATAAAAGCCATTACAAATAATAAATAATTAAATATAAGTATGAATTGACAAATAATGTGCCAGGATGATATGGATAATTCATATGTTAGCTTCACTGCTAAAAATAATAATAAACAGACCACTGCACATTCTCCACCATCATACCTTTATTTTATTCAAATTTCCCAAATATATAGGTACATGAACTTTTAAATTCATTTCACCCTTAGGCACTCAAAGCAAGTAATGCATATTACCAGGTAGATCCTGAAAATAAATCTAGCTTATCTCATTCCCCTTCTCATTGCAGTCCTTATTCTGAGGAAGAATCAAAATGTCACTGCTGCAAGAGAAATTAGGTTAATAGAAGCTCTCTTCATGTAGCCTTCTCTAGGCAAGGGATAGGTTTGAAGGTCAGTTCATTATTCTCCATCAGTACAAAATCATACCTGCACAGCTGCAGCCTACAAAAAGTAGAAAAAAAATGAACACAACAGAAGTTAACACTAATATAAAAATATTTCAGTATTAGAAATATTACATCTCCAGTATTTGCCAGCTCTCAGAGATGGTACTCAGGACAAGAAGAAATATCTTCTCGTTTAAGTTTACACCCTGTTTTACGTATCTCTAGAGTAGTTTTGCCACACTGAACAACAACCAGGACATTAGCTGGATGGTGAAAAGTGGCGTGAGTAAGAAGCGTATCACATTAGTCTGAAATATGACGATGCAATATTTCACCATTAAAGTTATTAATCTGCATTCAAATTAATTCTTCAGAACAATGGTCCAAGAACAGCCCAGTTCTTGTTAACACTGGACCTGAATAATTTATTTTGAGTTCCCTAGGTATTGAAGTTTCTCTGCTTTCATCCCACAGTGGAAAGTAGAACACATCATATACCTCATTCAGTTGCAATGACAGCAAGCGTAATAAAGTTTCATGCAAGAGAATAGTTTGCCATCTAAACACCTAGAAAACTGCATACTACATGAGCACATACAGAGGGAGACATACCCACAGAATCTTAATTTTTGAGGTCAACATGGATGCTCTGCCTTTTAGGGCAGAAGCAGGTCACAGCTCTGCCCTTCATGTGTTACTATGTTACTGTGAGAGCGTATGACCAGGCTGATGACTAGGGTACCCTCTGATGGCACATCTAACAGTGTACTAGCTATGATACTTAAATTATAATCTATATTGCTCTGAACATACAATAAGGTTATAGAACATAATCTGCCTCAGACTGGGATGTAGCGTGCAGTGAAACAGCTAAAGGACAAAGCCTGAGAAAGAGAATCTTGCCAAAACTTTCTGCTGTTGCCCATTAGTGTGAGACTTTCAACAAGTCAAGTCTCTACCTGTCTGTATATGAAAGGACTGCCAGATTTCTATATATGAATTTGAAACTTTGTAAGGTCCCTACAGAGCTAAGACTAGATTTTATGACTAAAAAGATCAAGACAAATTCTGGTTTTGTGTATAATGCAAAGCATAAAATATCCAGTCCTTCATCCACAATTTGTTTTGATTTTAATTCAGTGGTTTACTATTATATTATTTTTGTACAGGGAGAAAAGCACAGAAACTGCTAGCATTTTAATAGTCCTTGTAAAAGACTGTGAAAGAATTCACAGGGCAAATTTCCAGCTATAACAATGTAAGATTCTTATATGCATCCATTTCCTGAGTTGAGTTTCAACATTTCACATAACAATATGATGCTGTATTTTAGCACATTTGCAAGAGTGTTTGCAACACAGCAGCACAATATGTTAACATAGCCAGCTCTCCACCAGTACTCATCACCTGGGAAGGGCTTTATCTAACCACAGGGGACACAGTACTTAGACAAGCCGTAATGATGAATACTAGAAATAAAAACATACGGGTTTTGACATATTCTGTCTAATTTGAAGTGAAATTCATCTAAGCTTGTGATTACTGAGTACCAGGAATGCCTTATGGGAGAGTAGTCCTGAGTGAGAAGCAAATGAGTGAGGCTTTTACAGTCCCTTAGCCCATGTGGTTTACCTGCCGTCTACTAAAAAGCAAGGGCATGCCACACTCACTTGTTCAGTAAAGGTATTAGTAAGGTCTTCTTTTTTATTACTCCTGTTCTTGTTTTCATTAAAGAAAGCCAAAGGTAGCTGGCAAAATATCTTTAAGACCTTCACTTTATCCATCGAGTGTTAAGTGACTGACAGGTTCAAAAGCTTTTTGGGACAACTGACACCGGGACATGTAGAAGCTAGGAAAGCTTCCTGGCTTTATAAGCCAGCAGGAAGGATTTATCTTGGAGACCAGAAGAATAATCTGAAAATTATATGTACCTTTTAGCATTCTCACATTCACGTACCATCTGTGTGCATAATGGACCAGCCCAGTAGACAATTGGTTGGTGATATTCCTCAAACTCCCACTGTCCGCTATTAACCCAGATCTGGGCAGCCTGAGATATCTATTGTCTTTTATCCCTGTACTAGTCCCCTGGATTTGCCTACTACTTTATTATGTGGATAATTTAAATATTTTTAATGTAGTTTCTAGGTGATTATCTTGTATTCAAGTAATTGTTGTAATTACATGTAACTGAATAAGGTAAATATAGGTAGTTATAATTACAATGAGCAATTATGTAATTATATGAACCAATAGTGTTGTAACATCTGCATTTAAAGTACCTTCACAGGCTGATTCAAAACACTATTTTCCATTGCCATCTAAAAGTATCTAATGTGCTTATATGACTGCCATCTGTTCAGGCTCCGTATGAAGGATTTTAATGGTTCCTACTTTAAAGCAAATCAAGTGCATCTTACTTTAAAACTAACAAGAGTCAGAGTAACAGGAATGGAAACTCAAAACCATAAGGGTTGCTGAGTGAAGATCTTCCGTATTTGCTAGGTCATTAATTGAAAATGTCCTGTATGTTGATAGGGTTGCATGAAACTTATCTTCTGATTTACCACCATCAGGATGAGAAAAAAAATTGCAATATGATTTACATATCTCATCACCACCTGTTTTTCAATAAACTCATGTCATTTCACCTGATAGCTTGAGACTTATGGTCTTCCATATCTTAATGATTATTCATTCTGTGGTACTATTTTGATTACCTAGTGTTCTGTTTCTTCCTAAGTCTGTCCCACCTATCTTCCCCTCTTTTCTAGTAAATATGAAATAGTAGATTAATTTAACAAGGTTTCATAATGTTTACAAAGGTTCATACCCAATTCCTACTAGACTATTATCATATACCAAATCAGAAGGCCATAAATTTTATTTCTCAAGTTAACAAAATATACTGGCTTTAAACTTACTCATATTGTAATATTATTCCCACTCATTACTTATTTGATAAGTACCACTTCTTATCACTATTGGGCTTTATTTTAAATTCTGACTTTGTTGAATCTGCCATTCATATGAAGCAAACAGATGTAATGATTCTAATATAGCATACTCTTGCTACTCCTGGATATTTCCTACCTATTCCATCTAATACATTATTTTCACAAGATGCAAACATCTAATTGGTAGTGCTATGGTACAAGTACCTCTGGAGATTTAAAATAATGAACATAGGATCATAGGATAGTTAGGGTTGGAAATGACCTTAAGATCCTCTAGTTCCAATCCCCCTGCCATGGGGAGGGACACCTCACACTAAACCGTATCACCCAAGGCTCTGTCCAGCCTGGCCTTGAACACTGCCAGGGATGGAGCATTCACAACTTCCCTGGGCAAACCATTCCAGTGCAAACATATGGCAATACTGCTGAAATATTTAAAACCAGATATAATTAATAAATGCTTATTAATGACACAATTATAAAAAATGCAGATTATTTCATTTTTAATGTAGGCAAGCACAAGTTCTGGTCTTCAAAGGTCTTTATCTTCAGCAATAAGACCAAACCCTATTCCAGTAACACAAGTAGCTGAAGTGCTCCATTTCACGTGTGAAAAGCTGTGCACCAACACATGACTAAGGTGAAAATAGTTCTTAATAAAATTTATGTTCTGGAAGAGATCTTAACCGTGCAGGTATAAGTCAGGCTGGTCTACAAAGGCGGTCCTTGCAAACACATTGTGATCAGACAGCAGCAGCAGCCTCCTGTAACAAGTAGCATGCGTGCCATCTACATGTACAAGGGTGCTGTGCACTAAACGCTAATGAGCAGCTCTTCCACATGATAAATTTGACCCTAGTAGGATGAGAAGGATATTCATGCCTCTAGGAATACATGATTAAAAAAGTCAGTAAAGGGAAATACACATTTCTGAGGAAACATCCTGAGCACTTTAGTTGATACACAATTTGGATACGTGACAAACACTTACCTTTCTGGATCATTGAGAGACTTCAGTCTCATCTGGAGAACCCTAAGTTTGTGTTTTGGTCCTATTACAGTCTTTGTAGAAAAGGTCAAGGACATTTTTGATATTTTGTCAAGGTCTTGGTAAAATCCAGTTAGTATTTTGACTCTTCTATATTGCTGAAATGTTGAAGCTTCACTAAAGAAAAATGATATTTTGAGTCAGGGGTGTGTTAGATGAATAATACTCATTGTCACTAAGAATATATTAAGTTCAAAAATCTTGTGAGATGTATCGACTTTGAGCATTCAGAACAAGGACACCTAGAACTGGATTCAAACCAGCATCATGCAAGGACCTGTGGTAATTCATAAATGGACCATTTCAGTGTGAGGGCCATTGCCTCTGACAATAAGCTATACCCAGAAAGGAGCTGTGGAAAAGTCTTAACAATAACATGGTACTTTTTGATTTACATCTTAACAAGTTAAAGATTTAGGAAACTTAGAAAATTAGTCCTATAAAGTGATTAAAGAGATTCAGAGACAAAGCAAAACATACCTATTCATCTCTGATTCTACTGTGTTTCCAGCATAGTCAGTTAATTTAACTTTAATGAAACCTCTCCTAATGTTTTTATTCCAGGTAGTAATATCCAGTAAGTAGTTATACACTGTAAAAAAAAAAAAAAGAAAAAAGGAAATAATAAGATTCAAGGCATGACCTTAACAGGATACAGTTGTTATTATAACCCTGTTAAAAGTATACATTAGTTTATGATAGGAATAGTGACTCTTTACTTCAAAGAGTATTTTTCTGCTAGGAGTGTGAATAAAGAGACAGACCTATAGGCCTGTGCAGCCTTGAGAGTATGCAGGGGCAAAGTCCAAGCAGACAGGAGCAGGGAAAAACAGTGGTAGCAGGTTTGGGTTGAGCTGAAAGAGCACTGGGAATAGGAGTTGATTTATATAAAATCCATCACATCTTTGTTAGCCTCTCCTTGACCCTCTGGAAGAAACAGTGATGTAAGTAAGCATGATCATCCCTATAAAAAGAGATACTCAGTCCCTGGTCACAAAACTTGCCAAGACAATGGAAAAAGCTAATGGGAAAATTTAATTTCACTTGAATTCTCCATAAGCCTATCTCCATACCCCAAATCAAAGAACCTTAAACATAGCCAATTAGAAAAGTGTGCTAACATTTGCCTGTGATCGTAGAGTCTGCTAATAAAAGAAATTGAATAAAAATCTAAACTGGACATCTACATGGATATTTAGATACATAAACTGATGCAGCTAAAGCCTATGCCATGAGAATTCATTCCTATAGAGTATAAATCTGAAGCTAAGTTTTCCCTCCACTGTTTTACTTAGAAGGAAGAAATGGACTTTTAAAAGTTGGACTAGCTTTAGTTGACTGTGTGCTGCTCTCCTTCTGGGGTGGAACATAGAGGTGTCTCTTTGTTGTCCCCCACCCAGGGCAATCTCCCATTTTTTGCCCTCTGAAGATGGCAGCAATGATCCAGTCTAAGCAGGTTCTCGCAGCCCAGCTTTTTTCCCTGTCACCTGATCCTCATTTTCTGGCTTCCTTCTTCCTCTTGGCAGTCTATCCCATTGCTTTTAATGTTTTCATTATTACTCTTCTGCCACAGCCATTCTTCTTCCTCCAGTCTGCAAACTGACACTTAGCTCATGGTTTATTACACCATTTTACACACCAGCTAACAATAACTTTCTACTCTTAACATGCTTTCACTCTAGATCAGCTAACAAATAACAGCTATCCGCTAACAAATAACAGCCATTTCATAAAGAGTTCATTATGCATGTATTCAGTCACTCACTGCAGAATGGGTCTTGGTCCGTAGTATCAAAATAAGCTTTCGTTGGTGAACTGTTTGGGATTAACATTTTTTTCCATCTATCAGCATAATAACCTGAAATCCAAAGTTTAAATATTTAATTTCAGACATTCAGGAAAATTATGATACACACATAATTGCACAAAAGAATCTCACCCAAAGTGACAGATTTGTCTTTCATTTTCTTAAATATTCTCTCACAAAGTAAATTGAATTAGAAAATACAGGAATCCCCTGAGTCTAATAGGATTTTGTATGCAAGAATTTCATTCTTCTGATATTTTACTATCACTCAAATTGTCATAATATAACAGTTGGAATCTATTTAGTCTGGAGTGAGAGCTCAAAAAAATAGTGTTTTTAAACTCCAGCAGAGGTAATGAAAACAAACCCACAAAAGTACCCCACGTATTTGCAGAGAACAGGTAGAGAACAGCTTCACATTAGGTAAAATTTCTTCCTTTCTTTTTTTAATCATTAAAGTAAATATTTTTGAACCCTTTAGTCTATAATTGTGATAATTCTTTAATAACATGTTAGGTAGTCTGTAAGGCTCCTTACCTTATGAATATGATCTAGAAAGAACTTTTGGGTTATACAAGTCTGTGCTTATTTTCTTCTGGGCTTGATAACAGTCCTTTTTCTAAAATGGCTGATCTTATTCTCTCCCTCTAAATTTCATTACCTAGACTGAACAACGAGGGCTAGTTCCAGGCTGCAGAGCTGCCACTGCAAGGCAGCAAGTGGGAAAGCTTGCTGTAGAAGAACTAAAAAATAGGTGACACCAGAGTGTTCAAATACTTCTCTTTCTGTAGCTTGGGCATTCATTATAAGTGCATCAGGGGTGGCTAATAACCATGCTAGCGTAGTCCTGGAATCTTTCTGTCCTACTATAAGGTCCCATTACAGTTGTGTTTTATTACAAAACAGTATACAGATCTGTCTGTCTATGCTTTTTCTCCAAACCTGATCTAATTAGTATAGCTGTACATCCTAATAAAAGGATGTAAAAAACACAAGTTATGCATTTAAAGTTAACTTCTTACTTTAAAAATTAATTCATAAGAAAACCCCGGCAACTATGAAATGCTCACACTGTTGTAGCCCTCTTCAAACTGTTCCCAGATCCTCTCTAAAAGCAATAAAATCCCAAAAGGCTAAAAGCCCTTCCAAATAAAAGCTTGATTCCAAAAGAAGAAGCAGAGAAACCATGAAGGCTCTATAAATATTATTACTCTTCAATAAATGTGCACTGTCAAAGCTTGTAAAAGTGATGAACTAGGAAGAAGCAGTTTCTCTGTAGAAAGGAAATACACTGTGAACTCATTTCAGACTAGCAAGTATAATGATCAAGATTAGGAACACTCAGCACCTCTGTCTAGCAGACATAGCTATAAAGCAGACAAAGCCATAAACTTTAAACTACTTTAAACAGTATGCAGCTTTGCATGTGATCAGTCTCTACAGATCCCTTAACACGATATTACAGATCTCTGGAGTGGACCCAGAAAGAACTAGGTTGTATTTCCTGCAAACTCTCACCCAGCCTAGAGCAAATTTCACAACACTTACCCAGTATTGGACAGGACATTGGGTGGAAAGCTTCACAATCGACACATTTTCCTCTCTTGTAATCAAAGTAAGAGTCACAAGGATATGTTATTATGTCGCATCTTCTTTTCAAAGATGATAAGAAGAGAAAGACGGATCTTTGATGGTCACACTTAAAATACTGAAGTCCTTCAGGAAAGGAAAAGTTAAATACTCAGAGAATATGTAATAACCTTTTTCATACAATAGAAGCTTTTATCAAAGTACTCCCATTTATCTGAGTCATTCTTAGCTAGCCCTGCTTTTATTCTTTGGTTAGTTGACCACCAATTGGATAGTCATACACACACAAGAAAAAATTGAAGATTATTTTGAATATTACATGTATAGAGAAAAGTCCAAAGGTTTTATATTTAAGAAATAATCTTCCAAATCATACCAGATTTACAGATTTTTTTGTTGCTAGAAAACATGAGTCTGACTTAAAATTTGCCTCGTTGCAAGCTGTTTTGGGGGGTAATAAATTCCTCCCTCTCCTAGCAGAACAAACTATGAGAACTGTACAGATGAAGATGATCCTGAGTTTTAAGGAATTCTCCCAAACTCACAGACATACAAGTGGAAATCCTATGCTTTTGCAGCAGCTCTGATTTGTAGCACCACTATGCAGATTAGTGGTGCTGTAATAGAAACATAGACTTAAACATAAGCAAAAAGAGTAAAAAAAAAACCAACAATGGGCAGCAGCCTTGCTTAAGATTTTGGGGGCTAAAAAAAAGCAAACTTTTGCAGCAACAGATCATGTCATAAAACTGTTTTTATCCTAGAGCTTGCAGGACCCGTCAAACCCTAGTTCATCACTGCCAATGAAGAGGAATCTAAGACACACTGAAGACTTGAAAGCCTTGCCTTCCATGTCATATGCAAGTGATCCTGTCTAAACCACTTGGACACAAACAGCTTCCCCCATGCCTAGTAATATATAAACATAGAATAATAATGATCACTATATGCTAGTTGTATATATATTATAATATAATTTAATCATAATAATGATATGGTGGAATACGTATGCTCATAGGAAAATACAAAAAAAAAGATGTCAAATGTATTTGCTATTTCTCATTTGCTGAGTGGAGGTGGAAAAGAAAGAATCCAATGGCCTCAGCTCCCATATTAACGAATGCATGCAGTGCCCACTGAATTCAGCTTAACTTCTTTTGATCCGATCTCAGTCTTTACTCATTAATTGAACACATTCATATTTACCGCTGAAGACTGTTTGTGGACAACCAGGCTGATCCGTTCCTCCATTTGGATAGAAATCAATGGTTCCTAAAGGTTTCTTGAAACCTAGTGCTAAAGTAAAACCATCAGGAATCAAAATCATAAGCAGAACTATCTAGTCCATTATTTATCATTACATTCCTTACAAAATAACATGGAGGTCTGAAAGGAAAAGTTTGCAATTATACTGTTCTTTTGTTCTGTAAATGGAAGCCACGTTACGAGTTAAAATCACAAAACCCACCAAAAAAAAAGTTTTTTTTTCCTTTTTAAGAAAATTATACACGTGAAATGCTATGCACAAATGTAGAATAATTTGTGTTAAGATTCCTACTGCCACAAAAGAAAAAGGAAAAACCAGAAGCATCTATTCAGTGATGTATCAGACATTATTTGCACAAATAAAATGATGAAATTCGTGTTCTCTCCAGCAAACAAAATTCTTTCCCAATGTAATTTTTGTTACAGTAAGATCTTCTCTTTTTTTGCATATAACATTGGATTCTGAGCTACACTAATATAAGCAATATATCAAAGCAGAAAAATCTGTATCTGTTCCATAAAAGATGATGAGTAGCTTTAGCTCAATCTCACCTGTCTTCCTTTTTACCACAACATACCTTTATTCACATAATATGAACACTAAAACCCCAGGTTTTTTAAAGATTCATATACAAATTTGTATAGTAAAAAGCTTAATTTTCAACATAAAAGAGACTGGTGTGAAACTACACATATACTGCAATGAGAGTGGTAGGTGTGAAAGGTTTATTTATAATTCTGAGGAAAACATTAAACCAGATTATAGCATGGATGCACACTTACAATATTCGTTTTAACCTTACAATAATGTGTTTTACAACTTTAAGCACTGGATCTGTAGTGTACTAACATGATACAGCTGAGATGGGGTGCCTCAGAAAGGACTAATTCACTGACAATCACATACTAACAACTGCTATGTTCATACACACTAGCATAGCAAAAGAATGTTAATACTGAACTATTTTGGAAGTGGCAGCATCATGAATCAATGCAATAGGCATACTTTACTCAATGTGCAGGCTTGTTCTTTTCATATTCAGAAGGAATATACTATAACAAACAAGACATAAATGACTGGCATTATCACTACTTTAGCATTACATTACATGGACTCATGACTATCTGATTATCTACATATGCTTTCAGTTAGCTGTTGGACATGAAAGTTATTTCAGTGTTTTCAGGTTCAGCCATCAAGCTTCACTTATTCAATAACCTAGCTAGTTATGTGAGAACTGAACAAAACAGCTCATCAGTGCTTAAGTTACTAGCAAAGCTGAGTTTCAATTTCTTTTGATGAATAGGCATAATAACATACAGTATGATTTCAGAATTATAGACATTGGTAGAAAGCAACACCACAGCAATTTACATGATAACACAAAATACGTTACTGAAATATCCTTTCTCTTTTGTTTTCCTGCCTTTCCTAAAGTTCAAATAGGAAAGCTATTACAATTAGTCATTACCATCAGTATCTGAATGGATTACATCAACAAACTGTGCATCAGTTCGATCCAGTCTCCCTTCTGGCGGTTCTCGAGTGAACAAAGGGCCTGCTGGATCAAGACCTAAATAAAAATAACACTAGCATTACAAATCCTGGGGTCTGGTTCTACAGATATATACAAGACCAACGTATATGATTCTATTTAAGCACTACTCATCAATGAATCTTCATATTCCTCGGATAAGAATAAAAGTAAAACCCAGTACAGTTCTCAAGTTTCCATTCTTCAACTTGCTAAGCAAAGGGAGGGTTCCTACAAGACTGATCAACCCACCTCTTTGAATTTCTCTCTCTCCATAATTTGCTGTGCTTATCTCCCACTTCCCCAGATGAAGATGAGCCAACAGCATTAGGGATCAAATCCTGAGAAATATAAACACTGCAGATTTTCATGCATTTTAGAGATAGGGAATTATTGCTGTGCAGGCTGAAGCCTGGTAAATTTCAAGACGGTAATATCTGTCCTTCACTGAAAAGTGAAACTGTTAGCTGAGGTTTGCTCTGCTCCTATTTTCTTGACAACAGAAGCATAGACAAAGTGAGGAAAAGAAAAAGCAGCAAAAATGGAAAACAAAACTGTCAAGGCAAAACATATTCCTACACTTCAATGACTCCTAATTCTTACTGACTAAAGGACAGGGACATTGCATGACCTTAGATTATCTAAATTTATATTATGATTTAACTGCCAGATGTGCTTTAAGAACTAGGCTAGGAATGTTCTCTCTCAAGATCAAGATCACCAAGTCCCAGACTACCACAGAGGATCATGGAATGCCAGGAATTTGCATTCATAGTACCCCAGGTGACAAAGGTCATTGGTTTAGTCCACTAATTAGTTTCCTATTTTCAAAACCTCTGACCAGTGAGGAAGAAAATAACTTTTTCTTTTATTTTTTTTTTGAAATCTCATTTTTCCAACATTTCCACTAGTTTGGGCCACCGGCTCAACTTGTTTGAAAGATAAAGTATCAAAACAGTCTCATAAGAGGTTATAATCCTTGTGTGTTCAGATTATTCAATCTTTGCTTTTATTTATCCACATCTGTAATTGTAGGAAGGCTGTTGAAATATCTCATATAATTCCATTTACCAGTGAGCATCTGAGTTCAGAAATTACATGGATGTACTTATTGTGCAGAGAAGACACAGACCTGCTAGTCTAGCATCATAGTCAAGTCTGCCCTCAACCAGTGATGCAAACAAACTCTAGGGAATTGTGTAAAGCATAATTGAGTACTCTTAACCAATGGAATATAGCTGGAGACTCTTAGAAAATGCCCTAATTTTCAGATTACTGTACAAAGAGGTGTGGAGTCTCTAATGCCCTTTGTTAAGGTTTGATTCTGGCTCTTCTTACATTTTTTTGGAAACAAATTACTTAAGTACTCTGAAGAGAAGGTTTGGAGATATAAATCTCAAGATGAGGTAACTTCCTCCTTTCAGCCTGAAAACAGCTGCTCTCTTAAATCCTAAACGCTGTCAAGCGCCAACAGTCTCTTCTCCCCTTAGCATCTTTTTTGAGAGTTAGCTTAGTTTCCCGCTCAACACACTAGCTGCAGTGAGTTCTGTTATTTCACAGCAAGAAGTATCTGGAGCCTCAAGTGCACTCGAGTCAGCACTATGGCTTCTGCCCTAGGAATCAGCACCTAAAAGTTAAACATAAACTTTGTGTAGTCCCGAAAGATGTACCCACGTTGAGGGTATTCCAGTGTTCACTCTATGCACCTGTGATGGTTCTGCCTGGAGTAGAGTTAATTTTCTCCATAGTAGCTAATATGGGGCTGTGTTTTGGACCGTGCTGAGAACAGTGTTGATAACACAGGGATGTTTCAGTTACTGCTGAGCAGTGCTCGCACAGAGCCAAGTGCTTTTCTGCTCCTCACTCCACTAGCGAGTAGCCTGGGGGTGCACAAGGAGCTGGGATGGGTCTCAGCCAGAACAGCTGACCCCAGCTAACCAAAGGGGTGTTCCAGACTGTATGGTGTCATGTTCAGCATAAAGAGCTGGGGGAAGAAGGAGAAAGTGGGGGGACTTTTGGAGTGATGGCATTTGTCTTTACAAGTCACTGTTATGCATGATGGAGCCCTGCTGTCCTGGAGATGGCTGAGCACGCCTGACATGGGAAGTGGTGAATGAGCTCCTTGTTTTTCTTTGCTTGCACATGCATCTTTTGCTTTACCTATTACACTGTTTTTATCTCAACCCATGAGTTTTCTCACTTCTTCTCTTCTGTTTCTTTTTCCTATCCCACTGTGGGGGGGGAAGAGTGAGTGGCTGGCTGGGGTTTGGTTGCTGCCTGAAGTTAAACCACAACAGCATCAACCCTGCAGATGGCAATGGCGATCATGCAACAAGTATGAAGTAATATTTGTAGTGTCCATTCACAGGTTTCACACCTCATCTAAGCTCCCCATACAAGATAGCTCAATGTACTGAAGCCTACACTATGTTCAGATACTTCAAACTGAAACTAAATCCTTTGCCTGATTCCTGTGGTCTCACCAAGAGCTTTTGAACCTCCTTTCAGAGGGACCTGACTTGCTCGGTCAACTAGACATATCATTTAACTTAACTGGGATTTGGATGTAGCACTCAATTTTCATTTGAGAGACTAGAGGTAAACAGGATGTAAAATTTCAGCTGCAATTTATGTTGTGAAGGCAGACTTCCTCAATTTTCTGAACTTATTTCAGGAATACATTTTTCCTCACATATATAACTAAATAATTATCATTTGTTGATATTTCAGTGCTAGCATCTATGTGATTTGCAGCTATGACAACGATAAAAGGTACATTAGAATATACATATCAGAATTAAAAGCCTTACCTGTAATCCTGCCAAGTTTGCCATTATACTTCTGGCCAACAAAACCAGCTATATGAGCCCCAAGACTAACTCCAATCATATACATAGAGTAAAGAGAAGCTCCATCCACCTATTAGGGAAAAAATAAATAAATCAATCACCAAACAAAGCCATAGCCACACAAAGTTGAGCAAGCAGACATCAGTTTTCACTTTCTGTCAGTACTCAAAGTTATTTCTCTAACTTTAGAAACAAATGAAAATTACAAAGTTCTTGTCAATTTGCCATTCTGTACTAGTTAAACAGTTTAACAATTATGAAATTCTTTGACTAGGAACATGTAAAAAGGAAGCTTGAGTTGCATTTCTTCCAAAATATCACCCTAGTTAGAAGGGAAGCAGGGAAGGGAAGGGGAAGACATGCACCAGATATGAGAAAGATGAACCAAAACTATGAACTAGGACAAAAAAAATCAATAAACTATCTTCTCTGCCTTCTCCTCCCAGTAAAATAGATTAAACCCATAATACCATTAACAAAGACTTATAGCAGAGAACTGTAGAATAATGGTGCAAAATGCACACCTTCAGGAATGCCTTAGGATGCCCATTCTGCAAAGCAGGCAGTACTTCGTAAACGAAACAGAACAAAACCAAAACTACTGAAGAACTCTGAAACACTGTCAGCAGACCTGTTGAAATCTCTGCAAAGTGATAGGATGTTGTGTGGGATTTGGTACATTAATGTGTCTCAGAATGAATTAACAAAGGCCTCACGACAGCTTACAAGTATGCAAGTGATAGCTGTAGGACCCAATACACCCCACGACCACCACTCTGATAACTTGCACAACTGCTAAATATACTTTTTCAGCTCACCCTGGGTTGGAGACTATTCTTACAGTCCTATTTTATTTTCCTATTCTTTAATAATAAATTTACATATTACAGCTTGTTATCACTATACCTAGTCCCAGAGGACAGATTCTGATAGGATGTCTCTTCTTTCACCCCAGCCTTTCTCAAAACTGTTTTTTTTTAACTCAAATTCCTCATGAATGTTTTCTTACTACACAACATTCAAAATTTCTGAGAATGGCTGTGAAAAGAAGTAGTGAGAACAGAAGAAAAATCAAGTGATAAATCTAACAATGACATAAATGAGTTTTGTTCGCTTGATTAAGCAATGTATTCAAAGCCAAGTTAAGACCACCAGCATCAACAATTGTTTCAGCAACTCCCTTTAGAATCACAAAGTTTATACCATTTGAGAACAAATATTTATATCTGTCAGTGATTTCTTTTTCATTTTAAACCTTTAATTGTAGTAGTTTAATAGTAAAAAAAAGCAATGCTTTTGTAAAATTTTAATGCTGCATACTATGTGGACATCTCTCACTTCACCTCCTCACTGGTGCATTCACTCTTTCCAGAAGACCTAAAACTTCCAGCTTCAGTAAAGAAATCAGAGGCATTCTTCAGTGAAAGGGAAATAAGAACTCAACTGAAATTTAAGATACGCAGTAATAACTGCATGCAAACTTAGTAAATACTTTGGTAAAGAAATGTCATTTTATATTGCTCACTGGGCTTCTTTTTAGAGATATTTAAATACCTATTCCCAGCCGAACTCTGCTATTTGAAGTTATTCAGAGCAGATGCAACTCTCTGCCTTACCAGCATCTGGTCAACATAGTTCTTCAGTATTTCTGCAACTTTTCTGCAGTTGTCAACAGCAGATACATAGTTCACAGTTGTAGCACCACGATTCCAATCAACTATAATAAGATTAATATCCTCTGAAGACAGTAAAAGCTCCTTTATATCACCTAGCCATGCTGGTGGAGATCCCGTTAGTCTGAAGCCATGAATAACAAAGACAATTTTCTTGGAGGTATTAAGGTACTCAGATGCAGCAACATTGTGTTCAATGAGCCTCTCAGAACAATTTGGGTTTCCCCTTGTGTACAGCAGTAACTGGACTTGGAGTTCTGTTCCAGATAGAGCATTGCCTATATTAAGATCTGTGAATTCAGGACATTTTTTCTCATCATCTGAAAAAGACAAAAATGTTGGACAGTCATTTGATGAATTAGACCACCTGAAATAGCACCTCTTCACTTTTTCTTCCACATTTTTCCACTAAAAGTGAAGAGCTTCCTTTTTATTCACTCCAGACCTTTGGAATATGGTGCCAGAATGTGCACTGAACAGCACGCAATTTAACTACTGACTCTGCAAAGACCACTATGTTTCTCGGAACCCTTCTAATACAAAATCAACCTTTGTAATTGTTCCTGAACAGCATTTTCTCTATAATTAATATGAACTAATAGTCAGTGTTGATAAGATCCTTTGCTTAAAACCATCAAATTTAGGTTCTCAGAACTTTGTCACAACTAGTGTACGTTGTTTGGACAGGAAAACTGTTGTGGTTGTTTCCTCTTCTTTCAGCCAGGGTACCAAAGTTGCCAATCCTTAGCCTCATTGATCTAGCAGTAAGAAACAGTTGCCTGACAGTATGGGGATGACCCAGACTCCTTCCCTCATTTTGGATCATTTTAAGGACACTATTGCCAAGAAACAAAGAAAGAAGACAAAAAAATAGTATCCTGTTCTGAGTTTAAATAGCAAGAATCTGTAAGGTCAATGTACATACTGGCACAAGAAAACTGTGGTATTTGACATTACTGTGCTGGTGATGAGGCACTGGAACAGGTTGCCCAAAGAAATGGTAAATGCTCCACCACTGGCAGTGTTCAAGGCCAGGTTGGATAGAGCCTTGGGTGACATGGTCTAGTGTGAGGTGTCCCTGCCCATGGCAGGGTGTTGGAACTAGATGATCTTAAGGTCCTTTCCAACCTTAACAATTCTATGATTCTATGATTTCTGCACTCAGGTAGCTATGGCAGACAAAGTCAAGCTACAGACCAGTCAGGATCAACAAGAGGAAGGTGTTCTTCAAAAGAGCCTAAAAAGACTGTATTTATCAAGGTCAAAAGTTAACCCTTTAAAAAGTAACCTTTGGCTGTTGAGGTCACACTGTGTGGATAAGCCATTTCAGGATTCTAGGTGCAACACTGATGCCTGTCACAGCTCTTCTGCATGGCCCATTCACCCGCACTATGGTGTCAGCTGGTTTATGTCCAAAGAAATATAGGCCCATCTCTTGACTTCTTGGCTATGTTACTTTGCGCAAGGCTTTTATCTGGTATGTGATGACACCTTCCTCAGTTCTGTCATTAACAACTTTGAAAAACAAGTCAGCTTCTAGAAAGCAAAAGTAGAAATAGTACCTACTCAGTTCCTTAAAAAATAATTTTAAAATAAACTGAATTCCTCAGAACTTTTGAGATCAAGGAGAGGCAGATGTAGCTCTTCCCCTTTCCCCAGCAAGAAGCAAGCAGGAAGAACTGAAGTCACAACATGTGCACATCTGAGATGGCCAGCAAGCTCTCACCAGTTGATAAAGCTGTGAAAGGCAAGTGTGTGTGTGTGGGTTACAAGGTATCTGAAAACTGCATTTGATAACATAAAGCAAATCTAATTAAAGCTATACAAAACAAAAAAATGTGTATTACAGCACCTAACATGCAGTAAAGACACTAGAAACACTAATTCACTCAGGGAACTAGACTAATCACTTCGTATATGGCCAAACCATGTATGACAAATGACTAGACCAGTTACCTCTGGACTGGACATCACAAAAAATAATGGATATTTGCAACCAGAGCAGGGTTGAAGTTACAGAGTCTTAGAAAAAGCCTGAAACATTCGGTCTCAAATCAACCGGACAAAAGTTTCATGCCTTATTTTCAGCACAATAGCTAAAATTATTACCTGTGAGAAAAGTTAGACTTAAAAATATTTCAATATAAACATCACTGTCCTCTTCATTTAGACACTGAATAATTTAAGTGACTTTGACTGAGATCACTGTGAAGGTTATTAACTGACTAGTGATACAGGAAGGAAACTCATTTCATTGATCAGACTTATAGAATCACAGAATGGTTTGGGCTGGAAAGGACCTTAAAGCTCATTCAGTTCCAATCCCCTGCCATGGACAGGGACACCTTCCACTAGACCAGGTTGCTTCAAGTCCCGTCCAACCTGGCCTTGAACACTGCCAGGGATGGGGCAGCCACAGCTTCTCTGGGCAAACCTGTGCCAGCGCCTCAGCACCTTCACAGGGAAGAACTTTTGCCTAAGAGCTCATCTCAATCTACTCTCTTTCAGTTCAAATCCAAGCAGGAGTTCTGAAACTGAAAGCTGATCCGCTGCAATTGCTTAAGTTTAACAAAAATAATAAAGAACCTGGCAAAATATCATACATATGACATGATACTGAGGTATTAATAGAATGTATCACATTTAATTTCTAGTTTTTGTATAATGATATACAATGATAAAACTAGAATACAAATTCTATTACACAAATGTCATATACATAGCTCAAATAAAAAACAGCTACTTGACAGATGATCTGAAGATCCTTTCCAACCCTAACTCTTCTATGATTCTGATTACATTTTTGCTATTCAGATTCAAAGCTACAACACAAAACTCTTTTTTGCTTAATATTCTTCTTAGATTCAAGTTTAATCACTGATCCATACAATTCAGTCCTACATATCTAACATATAAAAGAGTCATGCTAAGATAATGTTGAACATATCCATTTAAATGTTTTGAATTCTTATCATTTAATTGGTAGAAACAAGAATTAATTCTTCTAAAGGCAGTGCAATGACAGTGACACAAAACAGTTTTGTCCATGGAACTGAGAAGTCTATTACAAGGAAATGATTTAACTGACGAAACCTATTTACTAGCTGGCAAACATAAAGGGGAAACAACTCATTTACTTATGACTGTGAAATGACAGCAGTTATCCTGTGAAAGTAAATAGACAAAGAAAAGATGATGTCTTTACTGTGGAATTAGGTAAGTACTGCAAATAGATTTCTAGATTTAATATGTTGCATAGTTTAGTAAGGATTCATTAAGTGGAGGTTTTTCAAACTCCTATTTCTGATTGATTACTGGAAGGAATATCCCAACTGCCCTTTGTGGGAGTACCCACATACACTTTTCTGTACAATCAGAACACAGAGACGGGCATTGGGCTGTCACATGTTGAGTTTAACTCAATTTATATGCAATTTTAACTTTCCTGTGTATGTTTAAGTATCTTCAGTGGTTGAAAAGGGAAAAATCTTAAGTGCACACTGACTTCCTTGTAACTAAATTTTACTATTTAAAGCATAAGACATAGCTTGAATACCTGTCAACCTATCAAATCAGCAGTAAACAATAAGCTTATGCTATGTTAAAACTATTTCACAATTACCTCTTTACTTTGTACAAAGTGCACATACCTGAGTGTGTCTGAGTGCAAAGTACAGCCAGAGATAAAGTATCAGGCTTCGTTCTATTTATTTTAAAATGAAAACCTACGCCTCAGTTTCAAAGTGATCAAATTCTCTTTATTAATTGTCTGCTCCATGAGACATAATTCACAAGGTATAAATATTTTGGCCAACTTAAATGAAGAAATACTCCTTTTTTTAATGCTTTAATAAAAGCAAAGAATACCTCACAAAGAATAATCTAATGGTTCTTACCTGATTTCACCCAGGATATCAAACAGATGAAGAAACACAATTTCAGCACGTGGAAACGGAAAAAAGTCATAGGTAAAATCCACAGACAAGTGACAAGTTGCATGTTTCCTTTCAGCATGCTAGATTTCTAACCTAACTGAATGCCACCAATGAAGTAAGTAAGCGACATGCAGAGTAGGAAGGAGAAAGCAAAGCTGTATACAAGCTTCTGCAATTCATGACTCCTCCTATTGAAAGACTTCAGTAAATAGGGTGGTTTCTGCTCTTTAAGGGTTGGAACTGGTTTTTCATCTGTTTCCCTCTCTGCCTATCAGTAGATTTACACGTAAGCAATTATGTTATGTACTACTGATAACACTGTTACACATTGGAATTCAGGAAGCAGAATAACGAGAGATACATCACCGTAGAGACCCACCGTGTGTCTTCTTCTAAGCGTCACTCAATTGCAATTAGAGGCACTGAGATGGGCAAAAGAAACTTGGAACAAAAAGTCATTCTGGTGACAGAAGGATTTTTCTGTAAGAACTTGAAAATAATTCTGAGAAGTGTATCCCTATGGATTATTCTTGCACAAAGTTATCTTCCGAGATTTTTCCAAGGTCCTGTTCTCTAGGCTAAATCCAGAGTTCTGTGGCATCCTTATACAGGACAGAGATGTAGCTTAGAGTCCCACAAACCTCACTGAAACCCTGACTTGCTGGTTGTTCTGGGTATGTCACTTCAGTCATTTCCTCCTTGTTCCCAACTACAAAATTGATGAAGAAACACCGATTTTTGTGAAACTCATTTATTTACAAACCAGTTCAATGGGTAAATACAAGAAGAAAAACTTCAGTTTCTTGGAGTTCATAATGAAGCAAAGAGGCAGATAAACTCTGCATTATTCAAGTGAGAAGTCTGGATGCCCAGTTTGCCTATATTTGGCCCCCAGTTATTTCCACTGCAGGAGTAAGAAAAACATACCATAACCACTCAAATGTGAAGCAGACACATGCCAGAAATGTTTTTTGTAGTGTATCCTTCCCAGTGCTTCTAAACGTTAAGGTCTAGGTCTCCCTCTTTTCCTACCACAACAGTTGGTGTTGTGTGTTTCATTACTTTTAAGTGATTGGTCTCTTCAGCTGGCTTTACAATTCTGAGCAGCTCAACAAAGCTGTGCTACACAAGCTTCTGCAGCAGATGGGAGGTCTTTTCAAAGGCTTTTCCACGTTCAGTGCAGCTACAAGAAGAAGATGCAGTACATCTACTCATATGAAAATCAACTCGGCTTACTTAACCAGCGAGCTTTTATTATGTTTTTGCTTCCATTTTTCAAACTTGTCACCCTATTCTGACTAAAGTTCACTAAGGCAGCTCTTGTTATTCCTTTGCATTCCTTTGTAATCCCAAATCTTTGACACAGCCTTTGTTACATAGAATAAGTAGTGGTATAGTCAATTCGACTCTCTCCTTCCAACTTTTCAATACAGATTATTGTTAAAAAAGAAAAACTAAGTGCACTCAAGCAACTACCAGTTAGGAAGCCTCAGCATGCACCCAGTATGCAGTACTCATTCATATACAAGTTAATGGAGAACTCAACACCAGTAAAATCAAAGTTAATAGCCCCAGTAAAACACCTACCAGGCTTATACAAGACCAATCACCTGATCTTAGAAGAAAATCTGACATATGTACCTTCATATATACATAATGCCACTAGTCGTGAATAAACTGTTAATGCTTACGCATTTACACGACTTGGGAAAAGAAAGGAAATGTTAAGCTCCCTCTTGAACTGAAAACCAGTAAATCCAGCTCACCTATATGTAATGTACAGTGCCATCCCTATAGGACCCGTGAAACAGTTTTAAAACCCTCTGAAATCAGTGCCAGGAAAGGACTCCCTTACTAAATCAACACCCACAATGTTTTTTTGCAGTGTCAATCAGGATCTTGAACTAGTGCCTGTTGGACTCTCTTGTATGGCAAGGGGAATTACAGTGGCACTTACGCCAGCTGGAAATTCACAGTTAGTAAACCACTGTTACCATTTATGCTGTAGTTTCTACTGATATACTACTGTCAGGTAAATCCTTCAAGGTGACTCTGAGTTGCAGGCGCACTGTCACAAATAGATGTGAGACACTCAAAGTTCAGCAACTGCCCATTCCATTTGGGTGCATATTGCTATGGCCACAGCTTTTCTCGTAATGATACACTTCTTCTCACACCAAAATTCAGAGGTACCTGCTCTGAAAGTGCCTTACACAAACCACTGAAGGATGCTGGCACTGACTCCTTAGGACTTAGCTTGTCCCCCTGGTGCTCAGGACTGTTGGAGTAGTACCTCTTGAATGAACCCTGATGCTTCTGGTGGAGCCCACAGTCTGCCAGGTATTAAAAACTCCTCAAGGCTGGCCACATATTCAAGTAGAAAAAAGACACATTAAACAATTGAAAAATAAACAAAAATAAATGAAAACAATTATTACAAGATTACTATGATTTATAGGATTTACAGGTAACAGAATTTCACTTTTACAAGTTTACCCCCAAAAGTTTCTGATAAATTAACAGCTAAAACCATTACAGCACGGTTTTCAAGATTAAGATTGAATTCTTACACAAGCCGTGATATCCGGATCTGTGGTTACATGTATTTCCCCTTCTAATCTTCTCCCTACCCCTGAGGGTTTCATAATCTTGGGAAATCCCACTCTCGTAAAAACTCTCATTTCTCGCACGAATCAAGCCACTTCTCCAGAAAAATTCTTCCCTAACCACTAGCTTAAGAGTGCTGCTCCCTTTCAGGAAAGGTGAAACCATGGAATCCTGAAATCACAGAATGGTCGGGGTTGGAAGGGACCTTACCCCTGCCATGAATCACACCCAGATTTTGCAATGCAGTGTGTTTAACTATGAAAAAAAAAGATGTCTAAAGAATACAAAGGGAAAAACCCTAACTGGATAGAAGAAATGTAAGGCTCATTATGTATTCTACAGCGAGACTTGCTAGTTCCTGTAAATTGGTAATCTCTTTCTAAATAGACTTGACTAGTCAGTAACTAAATCTCCACTAGAGAGTACGGCACACAGAGGCAAAGTACACCATAGAATCATAGAATGATAGAATGGTTTGAGTTGGAAAGGGCCTTAAGATCACTTAGTTCTAACCCCCTGCCATGTGCAGGGATGCCTCACACTAGACTATGCAACCCAAGGCTCTGTCCAACCTGGGCCTGAACACTGTCAGGGATGGGGCAGCCACAGCTTCTCTGGGCAACCTGTGCCAGCACCCTCATAGTAAAGAATTTCTTCCCAGTATCTAAACGAAATCTATCCTCTGCCATTTTAAAGCCATTCCCCCTTGTCCTATCCCTAAATGGCCTTGTAAAAAGTCTCTCTCCAGATTTCTAGGTCCCCTTTAGGCACTGGAAGGCTCCTCTAAGGTGTCCCTGGAGCCTTCTCTTCTCCAGGCCGAACAACACCAGCTCCATCAGTCAGTCATATTCCAGTTCTTTTTAAATACTGAGAAATATTCTGACACTTTACATGATATTTTGTTAGCTAACACAATGCTTTATCATACTGATGACTAAAACACTTGAAGGCTTTAAAAGCTCTCGAAGCAGGATCTGTCATTCGGCCCCACTCCCACAGTTGCCGTACCCAGCCAAGGTAGTTGCCATCCACGGGTGGCAAGAGGAGCTGAGGGTGTTGCAGCACTGTATGGTGGTGGTGGTTCTTCACTGCTTGCTTGCAGTTCCATCCAGTTGATAAGGAAACACCCAATGAGCACACATGGCACACACACTTCTCCCCAAGGTCACGTTTCTGCACAATACACATGCTTCCACTGGTAGAGCTGACAGTAATAGAGAATCATAGAGTTGCTTGAGCTTTGAAGGTCCCTTCCAACCCATCTAGTCCAATCCCCCTGCAATGAGCAGGGACATCTTCAACTAGATCAGGTTGCCCAACGTCACATCCAGCCTGGCCTGGATTGCCTCCAGGGATGGGGCATCCTCCCTGACAACCTGTGCCAGTGTCTCACCACCCTCATCATAAAGAATTTTTCCTCACATCCAGCCTGAATCTCCCCTTTTGTAATTTAAAACCATCCCCCCTCTTCCTGTCACAACAGGCCCTGCTAAAAAACTTAGCACCATCTTTCCTATAGGCTCATTTTAAGAACTGAAAGGCCACAATAAGGTCTCCCTGGAGTCATCTCCAGGCTGAACAACCCCAACTCAGCCTTTTCTTCTAACAGAGGTGCTCCATCCAGATCTCTCTGGTCAGCACAGAATACCCAGAATAAAAAACAATGAAATGAGCATCTTCATACACTGACATTCCCCAAAGAATAACAGCACTAGCAAGCACCGGCCCTGTCCGGCACCAACCAGCTGCATGCGTAGCGCTACGTAAAAACACTATTAAATACCACATAGGCCTTGCCACAGCTGTGATGAGGCCTCTTACACGACCTACACCCACCTTAAATGACAAGGCTCATGAACCTGGAATCCATGCTTGCCGGAAAAATGAGAGCACTGTGCATGTGAGCTAGCCAGTGCTGCAAAATAATCAGTCCCTTGAAAAAGGATCAAGGTTTTAGATCACCCGTATGCCACGCTGTGATATGGATCATTAGCAAATATGATGTGCATAGATAGCTCATCTCTGTCCTCAGTGCATCCAAATCCTCCTGGCGCAGTTAGCTAGGAATTGTCCTCTGGGTGGCCAAGTTAGCAATAGTGCTCAAGGGTCAGCTGGTAGTCTGACAGGTCTGTTGCTCTCTCATCAAGCACTGGCGACAGAAAAGCACCAGGTTACTGCTTAAGGAAAAACAGGTGTTCAGTTGTGCACTTCCTGTGATGGAGGATTCATATCAGTGCTACAGCTCTGCATGTGGAAATGGTCTTGGCCTGAAAAAAAACCTGTGCTAGGCTTTGGTTACCTAGGCCTCACTGCCATTAGCCAAGACACCCCTACAGAGACCTCACAGCAGAAGGACATTGTGAGGAATAACCCCCTGAAGCTGGGAGTTTCACTGTGTGCTAAGTTTCCATATATGCTTAGTGTAAGTTCCTTCCCTGCAGCTGGTGCAGTGCTGTGTTTCAGCTTTAGTCTGAGAACAATGCTTGTAACACACCAATGTTTTAGTTCTTGCTCAGTAGCACTTACCCTGATCAAGGACTTTTCAGTCTCATGCTCTGCCAGTGAGGAGGGGCACAAGAAGCCAGGAAGAAGCAGAGCCAGGAAACCTGACCCAAACCAGCCAAAGGGGTATTCCATACCACAGCACATCATGCCCAGTATAGAAACTGGGGGGAGTCACTCAGACAGGGCCGGGCGCTGCTGGAGCTGGGTCTGGGTATCGGTCGGTGGGCGGTGAGCAGCTGTATTGTGCATCACTTGTGCTGAGTTTTCATTTCTTCTCTTGTTGTTTCCTTTTATTATTATTACTGCTGGTATTATTTCTATTACCACTATATTTTACTTTATTTCAGTTATTAAACTGTTCTTAACCAGAGGGGTTTACATTATTTAGCTTCCCCACTCCAGTGAGGGGAGGAAAAAGGCGGGAGGAAGGTGAGTGACTGCATGGTGCTGAGTTACCGCCTGGGGTTAAACCACAAGAGCCCTGGAAAGGACTTCCCTTTGGATTTGTTTCAGTCAGTGGGAAGAGAGCAGTGGACAGAACCAGTCTTTTTATCTCCTTTGACTCTCTTCTGTCCTGTCTGGAAGTCAGGGAGAATTTCGGCTACTCTCCTGCGTAGCTGGTTCCTCCTTTCCTCTCTCTCTCTTTCCTCTTTCATCAGCAATGGGTACTGCCTCCATGTCTTGAATGCATTCATCATGACTTTCCTTAAATAAATGGGGGACACAAAGAACAAAGTGACTACATGCACATGTGCTCCTAACAGAACAGTTAATAAAAAAAATACTTCTATTTGAGAGGGGAACTCCCCTAAAATAGCAGTGGGATTTGTCTTTTCTGCTGCTAGTCAGGTCTGTGACATATTAAACATCTCCATGTACACCACCCCATTAATATGCCAACAATGGCAGGGGAAAATAACACATTAACTTCTCTACTCCTCTCCCCCAAGAATTTTGCTTCTCCCTCTAACAGGATTCATTAGCTAGAATTTGCTCAGCATTCTGAAAATGAAAGATATTTCTTGAAGAATAAAAGGGTCTCTGAAAAACAGTTTCTTCAGGAAAAATGCAGGCTCGTTTTGTCCAGACCAACCCCTTGGAAGTGCAAGCAGCTGGGCTTCAATTCTTATGTGATTTTAATTACCCCCCCAAAGGTGCCTTGTGCCCTGGGTTCCCAAATGGGCAATAGGGAGCAATAGTCCTGTCTAAAGAATAGTTTGCTATGTCAGGGTCTGAACTGACTTTT